GAGAGAGAGAGAGAGGGAGAGAGAGAGAGAGAGAGAGAGAGAGAGAGAGAGAGAGAGAGAGAGAGAGAGAGAGAGAGAGAGAGAGAGAGAGGAGTTCTGCAGTAGCAGAAGCCTTTTGATTTGGAGTTAAAAAAAATTATCCAAGAAGCCTGCAATTGGCCAGAAGCTTTCAAAAAAAATCTCTTCCGGGTTTTCAACGGTTCCAAGTTTATTTAGCTATTTTTTAAATGCAAAAAACAGGGGACAAGCTATGAAGCAATTCGTCTGAGCATTTTAAAGTTTCTCACGTACTCTTTTTACATTGCAATGGTACGTGGTACATCTTAAACTTTCTATTTTACATTTATACTATATGCGTTATATAAACAACGGTAGAATGGTTATGCTTAATGACTAAGACTTTAAGACTTTAAAATTTCTCTAGCTTGAATATGCACTTAAGTAATTGCTGGGTAAATGTCTATTGTGATGGTTTTCTTTTAAAGATGCAGCTTTGTGGATGTCGTTTGTATTATGTGCAGCAGAGACCGGGTTTCTTTTTCTTTCTTTTTCTTTTTCTCTCTCTCTCTCTCTCTTTTTTTTTTTTTTTTTTCTTTTTTTTTCAGGATTTGAAAAAATTGCTGAGCTTAACAGATTTTTTTCTTCCTAGCGCTTGCTCGGTTCCAGAAAAGGGGGGAGGGGAAGGGGATCCTGTACGTGCTCTGCTCTGTTAAAGACGTCTGGCCTCTGCAGTCAACCTAACCCGAAAAGAAATGTCTGGACCCGAGAATAATTGACGATTCGATCCTCTAATCAATGGGACAACATGAGAGATTGACAGAAGCTCTATCCAATCATGAGAAAGCTTGGGTGTACAATGGTTCGTAATAGCCATAGGGGGGCGGGGCAAAGGAGATCTGAAGTTCTCTGCAGTTCTGAAAGGGATGGTGTGTAGTTCAAGCTGTCAAAGAAAGATACCGCGCTTCCGGATTTAGCAATCACAATAGGAAAGGGTTTTTGAGTTTAAAGGAGAAAAAAGCTGTTTGGGGGATTTTTGCATGAATCCTGTGTGCCTTTTAACTTTGCTCTTTGGGAAAATTCTGCTAGAGTAATACCTAACCTAGTATTAGTTGTTGTTTTTAATACTCGGGGAAGTTGGTAACTGGTAGAAGGGGAGGTTTAACTTCTTTGAAGATATGCCTCAATTTGGGAAATGCACTGAGTGTTTTAAAACTTCTCATTGGTTCTTTTTTTTTTTTTTTTTTAGAATCTTTGGCATATCAAAGGAACAGAAAGCTTCATGGGTTGGGATAGACAGCTGTTCTATAGATTTGAAAAGGAGGGAAGATGTGGATTTTCTTGAATTCTACGGTTTCACATTGTGATCAGTAGCAAAGAGCATTTTAAGAGCCACCAAGTTCACATTTCTTCTTGTTACCACAACAACCCCAGTGGAGGGTACATGTGTGGAAGATGGACTGACTCTCCCCATTAGCTGCAGTCTGGCCCCTTGTTCAGGTCCTTGACTTGAAACCAGCTGCCTTAGTTTGTCTTGGAGATAAATGTAACTTGCACCCTCTGGCTCAGATATATCAACCACCTCCTAATTCTGCAGGAAACAAATGGAAAATAATATGGATTCCTTACTTTATAAAAGTGTGGATTTAATACTCCTGCAACTATTTCCCTAGGCCTTGGGCCTTGCAGTCAAACCTGGTTTGGAAAGTTGATGTGACAATTCACTTGTATGCTCAATTCTGCAACATGAATTCAATTGGGGATTATATACAAGCAAGAGAGATCTCCACAAGTTAAAAACTAGTGAAGAAAATGCTGGGAAATGCTAGTTAATAGAGTTAATCTTGGTAATAACTATAGAGCAAATGGTTTTGTAACTTAGGAATCCTAGACCCATCTTCATTACTTTGAGCATTAAAATCTAAATCACATTAATACAATTTCCCAATTAAGTAGACTAGAAATGAGAGGTATTTCAGATGCATGTAGAAGTGAAACTTTATTGACGTAATTTATACATCTAAGAGGATTTCACTAAAGCTGGCAAGGTAACGTTTCTGCAAATAAAACAGTAAATGCAAGGCTGGGCTCTGTGCCAGGGAGAATATGGATAGCAGAGAGCATGGCAGGAACCTCCTTTTTGCAAAGACAATCCAGTTTCAAGGCAGCCTCCTAGCACTTGCAAAATAAACGACTGGAGTAATGTTTCCAATAAGGGGTTTACCCTTCCTAACAATGGGTCATTTATATGATTGCAATAAACTAGTTTTCATATATCACCTGTGTTTCCTACACTCTCTTATCCTTTCTCTTTGCCCCCCCCTTTCCTCCCCACGCTTTCCCTGTCCTTCCTTCCTCTCCCTCCCTTGGTATCTTTGTGAACTCTAGACAAGGATTTACTTTTGCAACCTAGAAGAAGGGAGAAAGTTAGAAATGCTTTTTACCCTGTCTGTCCTCTCAGGAACATCTGTTTCTTTGTGTGTTTAAATTTATGCCTGTTGGAGAGAAAGTTTCCAGAAGCCATTCTGTAACTGTAATTCTTCTACGGTATTTTTTCTCAGTCTAGTTTGTTAAGGCTGTAGTTGGAACTGGGCTTTGTAGCGTCTGTCCCCCGCCTTTCACCCTCCTCCGGAGCGGGGGAGGGAGCGGGAGCTGGCACAGATAGGAGAGAAAGCAGGAGCGGATGTGGAGGGCTTTGGTGCTGAACTTGGATCCAGACCTTGCCTAGAGGGCGCAAACAATCGTCCCATATCCAAAAGTCTTACGAAGGGCGCCAAAAGTTACTTAAGATAATATTGCTAACCGCAGAATGCTGGAAATCGCGGGCACATCAACTGCTGCAACAAAAGAAGTTTCTAAAGTGGAAATATCAGCATTCAATTACTTTCCCCATTTAAAAAAACAAGGCATGGCGAAAGCCAGTTACATTTAAAAAAAAAAATCCCCTTGAGAATGAAAAGTAAGAATCTTTGCTGTTTTGAAAAGACAGATGTGAACTGTATCTTTATATACACAACAACAACAACAATAATAATAATAATAATAATAATCCGCTTTGGAAGAGAGTTTCCCCAGAGCACACATGGGACAATAACTTGTCACTGTGCCTCAGTTACATGTTGGGTCCCTCAGCCAGACACTTCTGTCGAGGAAACTTGGAGAGTCTTGAAGTTATAGATCCCAGCAAAAGGTTTCGTGGCCAGTAATGTATCTCTAACATCTCTTAGCTTAGAGGACATTTCTTCTACTGAAAGACTCGAGGAACCAAAGAAAGGCGGTTAGTTTGGCGAAATGGACGTCCTAACTAAAGGCTGACGTTATTATTATTTTCTTTCAGTCATTAATAAGTAATGGGACAGGTTTCCAAGAACATTCAATAGCGGGGGAGGGGGTGGGTGGGAAAGAATGAATTCTTGAGTATGGGGCAAATATTGTAGCCCCAACAGGACTAGAGAACAAACAAAACTTTAGAGGTGCAGTCTGTTGCAGAACGTTTTAGTTGGCCTTCTCTAGTAGTGTTCTTACCCTTTCTTAAAAAAAAAAAAAAAATTCTGAATGAAAAGTGCCCACACTCCATCAGCCACCCTTCTGTGCAGTGGGCATACCTGCAGACTCTAGCCCTGTCACCTCTACCAGGGAGCAGATCCCTGGTCTGTGTGCCAGTGTCGGAATCTGGGGATTTTTGAGAAGGGTTGGCAAATGCAGGAGGATGCAAAACTTCAGGAAAGAGAAGGGGGGGGGGGACGAGTTTGGAGGAGACAGATATAACCCCCACCCCACCCCACCCCCGCCTCCTCTTTCAGGAGAAAAGAGAGTCTAGAGAGAAAATGCGAAGTTAAAAAAAAAAAAAAAGAAAGAAAGAAAGAAAGAAAGAAAAAGAAAAAAGAAAGCTGGGAGGGCAGGCTTGTTGGCAAGGTGCCAAACCCTAAAACCAACCCCCCCCCCGCACAAAAATAATACTTTAGCAAACCTAAAATAAGTGCAGGAAGCTCTTTTCCATTTTCAGAAATATTACCTGGGGAGGGGGACGGGGGGAGTAGCGATCCGCAAAAAACGCACCCTTCTAGAGTGTGTTTGGGGAACACAGACTGGGATGTTAGCCCAAGTCCAGTTCTGGGCTTCCATTTGGGAACACAAACAGAACCCTTTCCTAAGGGGACAACCCTTTCACAGTTTTCCCTCTCAACACACAGAAAGATGTCCCAGCTAAACCACTGTTGTTTCTGACATGACAGAACTTTTTTGGGCGTTTGTATTCAAACCCACCAGCTCCCGACTTCTAGGAGAGCGGCCGCTCCTGACTCCCCGCCTTCCTTTCTCCAGAACCCCCTCCCCCGCGATCTGGGGAATCTTTGGGGGTGATCGTAGCTTTCCCCAGCACCCGGGTTCTGACTGCTGTAGGACGGTGGCTGCACAAAGTTAGCAGGCTTTTGTGCATAATTACCTATGCCGACGACACTATTCCCACAGAAAGCTTCGCAGGACAGATTACAATGCTTTGAGCTTTACCGCATTTCAGAGGAAGGGGGGGAAAAGTTACCTAGAAGGTCTGATTTTTTTTTTTTTAAGAAGAAATTTGCATACATGCAAATATACCGAGCGTCCTTGTCTGGGGATTCTAGGGAGCCCACCCTGGGGCCCACGGGGGTACGGGGCGCCCTGGCAAAGTTGCCCCAGTCCTCCACCGACGTCCGCGGAGGGCTGCGGCGCGAGTGGGGGGATGGGGAGGAGGAAAAGTAGTTTTGTTTGCTTAAGCACATCCTGTGGCAGCCTATAGCCGCCCGGAGGACACGCTGAAAACCGCTCCGCGCCGCGTTCCCGGGACCGCGCCGAGCGGGGCGGGGGCGGGGGCCGCGAGAGGCAGCGAGCGCGGAGCAAGCGGCGGGCGGGCGGGCAGCGGCGCAGCCTGGGGACCGGTGTCAGCGCCGCAGCCGCCCCTCCCCCCACCCAGTTCTGCCCCCCCTCAATCCTCCCTCCCCCCCCCCGCGGCGGCGCGAGCGGGCGGCGGCCGAGCGGTGCGGTGCAGAACGCGGCGCAGGCGGGCGCGCGGGCAGCTCGCGGGCACCCGGCCGGCCGGCGCGGGAGCGGGAAAGGGTGCGCTATGCCTTTAACGCCCGCGTACAGTAGACAGTATAGTGGAGTGTAGGGAAACTCTAGGCGGGGTTAAAGTTCAGCGCGTGGAGCGGCAAGAGCGCTGGCTGCTGCAGTTGAGCCGAGTTGGAAATGTGAACGCAAGAAGCAGGCTTGATTTTTTTTTTTCCTCCCCCCCTCTCCTAGCTCTCTCCTCCTCTCTCTCCCTCTCGCACCCACACTCACGCACACCTCCAGCCCGCACACAGACGTGCACGCACCCCCCGCCGCCCGGCAGTTATGTATTCTCCGCTCTGTCTCACCCAGGTAAGCAGCTGCGGGGGCGCGGGGCGGCCGTGTGCCTCGGCGGGAGCCGTGTCTGCGCGTGTTTCTGTGTGTGCGCGCGCGTGTGCGGGGGGGGGGGCTGCAGCTTTAAGAAAGTAACTTTGTTTCCATGCGGGTGCATTCCTCTTGCTCGGCCATTTGTGTGGGCACATGGCTAATGGCGCCCTCTTATTAATGCGTTAATTAATATCGGGGCGCCGGACTGCAGAGTGCTGGGGCTTGCGGGCGCCCCGCACGTGTGTCCGCGGCTGCAGCCCCTGACACGCTGCAATCTGCGTCTGCGGCGCGGAGCGCGGTGTCCCCGGTTCCTCCGCGCCGGGGAGGGGCGGCTGAGCCCCGCAAGTCCCGCACGCCGGCTGTACCCGGGTGCCCTGTCTGCCCGCGCCCTCCCGCGCCACCGCGCCCCCCGCCGACGCCCCGAACTCTTACTTTTGTTTTGTGCCAGCTTGCGGGCCGGGCCGGGCAGCGCCCCTCGGACGCGGCGGCGGGCGGTGCGAGCCCTCGCCGGTGGGCTGCGTGGACACACGCCCAGGACCTTGAGTCCTTGCCTCCCGCCCGCGGCCCCAGGCGAAAGTTTTGGGGTCGGGCGGGCGTGCCCACTCCGCGCAGGCCAGAGAGCTGGCGAGGCCTCGGGTCGGGCCGGGCTGGGCCGCTGCGGGTGGAGTGGGACTCCGGCCCGAGGTCGAGCGGCGGCTGGGACCAGAGTCTCCTGCCCGGCGGCTGTCGCCCGTGCACGGCCCGGGCGGCTCAGCACGCAGGACCCGGCAACTTTCCCTGCAGCCCCACTCGCTGCGTCGGGTTTAGAGCCCCTCAGACCCTCCTGCACGAACCTTCCAGCCCATCCCTCCCGGTCTCTGCACCACAGGCAAGGAAACACTGCTATTTTGCGGCTCCGGATCTGGTCCCGTTTGAAAATATTATTTATTTTCTCTGACTAAAAGGCACAAAGTCAGAGTGATTTGCGCTAATTTTTCTTTTTTAAACAAGAGTCTTTATACTGCTTTTAAACGTTGCAGTCTGACCAGTAATCACCTACGTGAAGTTCTATGCTTCGAGCACAAGGTTTATTCATGACTCCCTCAAAAGCCTGCTAACTACTGTTCCTTCAATGAGCTAGCTGAAGCTAACGGTTTACCGGGAATACTTTGGAAGGCTGAAAGTATCAGTAGATTTTCCTCTCCCCTCTAGATTCTGGATTTATTTCCCACATGACTTCCCTTCTTACTGCAGTATCTAACAGTAATAACACTGGCTATTTGATCTCAGAAGACTCTTAAATGCATCTTTTATGTGGAGATGGTCTGTTTGGGATTTAGGCCTCACATTAATAATGGATAGCAGTTGTTTTAGTTATTGTAAAAGCCCCCCCCCAACACACACACACACACACACACACACACACACACTTCCAAAGTTACTATTTTAGTAACTTGTGGAAGTATGGAATGAAACTTCTCCAACCACTTCTGGCAAGGTTCACAATTGCATATGGATAAGATGCAAAGTGTAAGATAATTTGAATGAATTACAGTCTGCAGTGAAAGTGCTGAGATTCGAAGGCTGAAATTCCAATTGGCAAAAGTTTGCAACACATAGAACTTGTAGATAATACCAGCATGCTGCAATAGCAAGAAAGAAAGACCCTTATGGACACAGCGGTATCTTCTCGAGTGAGATTTACAAAGATAAAGTTCAGGTCTGGGCTGTGCATTTCAGGAGCATACCTGTGTATCCATGCAGGCCCCAGGCAGAGGCAGGTATTTAACAAAGTTGGCTTCTCTGGAGTTATTATCACGTTAAGAAAGTTTTTTTTTCCCCTTCCTCTTTCCCCCTCCTACACACTTGGCAGCATTGATTGATGCATTCACTAGGCCTCCACACCACTAAGAAACGCTTATTTGGTGTAGCAGTTTGTGAAGAAAATATACAATAAACAGGGAATAAAGGCTCATTTGTTTTATGAGAGGGTCTTTAAAAGTTGATTTACAATTTATTTAACTTTCTGGAATATTTATAACATGTTAGAGTCAGTTTCAGAAAGAAAAACTTAGGTCGTTTATTGCTCATTTAAAAAAAAAAGATCCAGTAAGCATGGTGATAAATGTACTCTAACTGTAAGAGTAAACTCAATTTGCTGTGTGCACTTTGAAGAGGCTTTACCTTGAGAATGCCAGGCCTCTTCTTTTGATTGAAAATGGGAATATCGTAATCAACTCATGTACCTGCCTAAATCCTGACAGTTCAGCAGAAATTTATGAGTAAAGCTTTTTTTTGGGGGGGGGTAGTTTCCAGCACTCCCACTATTCTGTGGCTCCTTAAACTTGGCCTGCTTTCAAAGAGATCCACATTTTAGATGCCGATGCAAAGCAACCCGGCTTGGAAACAGGTCCACAGGTTTAATTTTATTGATGGGCTGTGGCATTCTCATCTAGTATGTATGTAAAATATTACTTGTTTTCTCTTTAATAATTTTGAAATATCACAGAGTTTATGGTGGTTTTGTTCAGCAACATGACTTATGAGAACATGCCCCCCCCCAAACATTTATGCTTTCTTTGGCCGTTTCCTGTAATTTTTTTTTTTTTTTAAAGTTTGGATGCTTTGGGGGTATGTATATCAATACGTTGACTAAGTGTAATTGTCATGTGAGTAAAGTTATATAAAATATTGTGTACTTTTAGTCTCATTCTGGAAACCTTGGAGAAATAATACATGGTAAATACTTCTAATGCAAACTGGGGGATGTAGATTGTCCACGGTGACTAGTTGACCTTATTTTCAGATTTTTTTTTTTTTAAATGAAGAGATATATGGGCATCTGATTGTCAGGTGAATACAAATACTTCTGAACCGATGCAGTTATCAGATTTTAGGAAGTATTTTAGGACGTATAAAATAACCATGTTAGGATGTTTATTTAACATGCTTATTATCATTAATAAGGTAATGCCTTAACACAGATATGATGTGTTTGGAACTATTTACCTTATAAAATGGAGCTGAATCTGTAAAATAAAAGGCTCCTTTTGGTGAAGGCTCATTGTAGTTTAAGGTCGCCCTCAGAGATTCCTTCCATAGTGTCACAGAGTCTTAGTCTCTACTATGTCCTGTGTACATCTGCATGTCAGTCACTATGAAACACATAGCACTTATGTATTTCAGAGCATTTCAAGGATGAGTTCAGAACTTAGTAATATTGAAATGCTTTGTGGTTTGGCATGTACCTTAGCGAATAAACTGTGACTTGCCCCTTGCATTTTCCTTCCAAAGGAATAAATATTCTTAAACATTATTTAGTTTTAAAATGTTAATGGTTTATGGTAAAGATTAATATAATTCTTGTATTTTATTTTTCCCCCACTTGAAGAATATGCACATGTTAACCAAAGCTCACCAGTTTTTTTTTTTTTTTCCTTTTTTTGAAAAGAGCAAGTTTCAAAACTGGGCTTGAGCCATGGAGTCAAAAATTTGTGCAGAAATAGAGAAAAGGCTAATTATTGTAACAATTAAATATGAATTATATTATTATATACTTAAAGAACCCTGCTATGTGTAATGTTTACATGGTTGATTAGAATTTGTAAAAAAAAAAAAGTGAACAGTTTTGACTATTAAAATCTAATACCTTTGGTGTGCATGTTTAAAATGTTTAAATTTTTAATAACTTATTTAGTAGTAATACTATTTTTGGCATTGCATTTTCTTGTACCTTAATATTTAGGTTGATATAACAATTGTTAAAAAAGGAATATATTTATTTTTGTTCAGTCTAACTCTTCTTAAAACGTCACCAAATATCCCTCTAGTTTCCTTATCTTCATGTATTTGAAAGTAAATAATTTATCTTTGTGGCAGAAAGCCGTTATATAAAATTGGTGTGGCCTGGTTAATCAAGAGTTGGATGTCCTCTCTGAGGTGTTTGTGAATGTTACTGTTTAACTTTTTAAAAATTTCTATACTTAAAATTTCTAACCAACATCAACATGAGAATCACATATTTTTAAGTAAACCAGGAAGAAAAATTCACAAGCTTTAAGTTCAATTTTCTCTTCCAATTCTTTTAAGGAAAGATATCTGTGAATGTTCTCGAGCCTCCTGTCCGCTGATGGGGAAAGAGCCGAAATATTATTTTTAAAAGTGAGATGATGCGTTTTATAGGTCTGGTTGCTTTTGAGGGTGTTCCGCAGTCCTATCTGCCACAAAATGTGTTCAGTTCCAAGAGTGCTGTCACCGTGAGGCTCCCTGTTTACTCTGGGCATGGAGCTCTGCTTTGTTTGGTGTGCCCCCCCCACACTCCTTTTTTGTTCTCTTCCATAGTTCAATAATGATTTCTTGAGCATAGATCTTTTATTTTTTTATTTTAGCCAGATTAATACCAATTCTTCCCTCAGGTCTTTTCTGAAAAGACCTACCACATTTTTCTATCTTTTTTTTTTTTTTTAAATTATCGGTAACTATAATATTGAGAAGAGTAATTAAGATATTACCAAAATACATGGGAGGCAAATGAGAGTCTACACCAGCTCTCCAGAGGGAAAGCCTTTGTTTTCATTGACGGTAGAGATGGGTCTTACTTCTAGACTTCCATAAACATTGACTGGCACCTGAGTGTTTCGGATTTGCCAATCTGGCCGCTAGGCCCTGGCTGAACTACAAATGGTGAGGTCAAGGCTGGGGCAAAATTAGATATGGCCTCCTTGAAATAGAGTTAAGAGTTTATATTGTTAGATGGGTTTAGATAAACTGGGCTTGCCATATAAAGGATTTGGGAAGTAGGCCGCACCGTAGAGTGTACCAAAATGTTGAAAAATCCTTAGCCATTTTCTCCTTTCAGAACATAATGGTACCGAGAGTGTGTTCCCATTCCCCTTGGTTGGCCTTAGGGATTTTATGTATGATTTTTTAAAGGTAATGTAATACTTGGACCACTTTCATGTGAAATGAAGGATTTCTTTGGGGTAGCTCCTCTTTTGTGTTGGTCGTATTCGTATTTTTGTTTTTTTTTTCTTCCTCTCCTTAGGATGAGTTTCATCCTTTTATTGAAGCACTTCTGCCTCACGTCCGCGCCTTCGCCTACACATGGTTCAACCTGCAGGCCCGAAAGCGAAAATACTTCAAAAAACATGAGAAGCGTATGTCAAAAGAAGAGGAGAGGGCCGTGAAGGATGAACTGCTAAGTGAGAAGCCTGAAGTCAAGCAGAAGTGGGCTTCCAGACTTCTGGCCAAGTTACGGAAAGATATCCGACCTGAATACCGAGAGGATTTTGTTCTTACAGTTACAGGGAAAAAACCTCCATGCTGTGTTCTTTCCAACCCAGACCAGAAAGGCAAGATGCGGAGAATTGACTGCCTCCGCCAGGCAGATAAAGTGTGGAGGTTGGACCTCGTCATGGTGATCTTGTTCAAAGGTATTCCGCTGGAAAGTACTGATGGCGAGCGCCTTGTAAAGTCCCCACAGTGCTCCAATCCAGGACTCTGTGTCCAGCCCCATCACATAGGAGTTTCTGTTAAGGAACTCGATTTATACTTGGCATACTTTGTGCACGCAGCAGGTAAGTGAGATGGGAAGAACTTTCTTGTTTATGTTTCTTCTGATGACCTCTGTGAATGCTGAACCATTCCTGACCTCCCTATTAGGGCCAGTGAGGTTTCAGAGGTAAACCAGAGTCAGAACAGTTTGAACAGTTTGCTGCCCCTGTCTGAGGTGCCATCCTCATTCAGGTATAGAAACAAAGCTCTCAGAGAATTCCCACTCAGGTCACACTTGGTAAGTAATGCTGTCAGAAGTCTTGGTAATTCTGTGGCTGAGAAGTTGTAGTCACATTTTTTTCGACTCATGTTGAGAAGCCTCATGACAACCCCCGTTATAAAGAATAGATTTTTAAACTGGATTGTGATCTTGTTAAAAATACATTTCCTCTGTTGTGAGCTGCAGTTCTGTTGGGACTGTTCTTACACTTTTGAGGCCTCTTGCACCCCTTGCCAATTAAAAAGCCAGAGGTAAGGTTACTATCAAAATGCATTTATGAAAGAGGCATAATCACATTAATATACAAGCTTCGCAGCTTCGTATGTGGGAATTCTCTGTGCCATTTCAAATAGCTGAAGGAATCCAACCAACCAGATTCTAAGCATTGATACTCAATATGAGCAGCTTGCATGGCCTGTCTGACTATGCACTGAGAAATCACTATTGGTAATTGATCCATCGGCCTGTTTTGATTTGTATGAGGTCCACTGTTGATTGCAAGACATGTCTTACCAGAGTGTGCTTCAGAATCTGGAAGAACATTCAGGAATCAACTGTTGAGGCCTGGGAGAAATAATGCAGCTTTACTTTGTTCTTTTCGTCTTGTTTTAGACAAAGGCTCATTGTGTTACGTGAAAGCTCAGGTCTTGTGTAACTTGTTGACTTTTTATATGTACATATCAGTCTTGCTAGATTGCTTTCATGGCAGTTACTTAAGCCAGATGGGAGAAAGAAAGTTGTGGAATCCTATTAGAGACTTGTTTAGGAGTGGTCTTTCTCCCTCTCTCTCTCCCTCTGTCTCTCTCTCTCCCTCTGTCTCTCTTTCTCTCTCACACACACTTATTTCTCTCTTTTTTCCCACAACGAAGAGGAAATATACTATCTACAAAGTCAACACTATTTTGCAAAATCTGAAAAAATTTTAACTTTCAAAGTAATCAGCTAACATTTCACTCTCTCTGTTTTTTCAATATATGATTTAGAAAGAGAACTTTTTGTTACCCATCTGTCCTTACTTAAGAAACTGGAGAAACTGACTTTGCAAGCATGTCACATCATCATTTGTGTTGTGTTGGCAGGGCATAGATGTGTATTTCAGAGGATATGCTCTGAAAACGTTTCAAATATTTGGGCTTTTGAAAATGTACACCCGATTACAAGGCATGCCTGTTGCTTTAGCCATCGTAGCAGCAGAAGTTCTAAACAGGAACAAGTCCTTTTCTTACCCCTCGCTGCTCACTTTTCTTGTCTATAGTAAAAGTAAAGTTAGGTTTACTTTTACTATATTTAGGAAAAGAATTTATTAATGACAGTGCATGTTCTAATTGGGCAACTTAGAAACTTGAGGGTGCCAACAATTGATGCAGTTCACTGGCTCACCTTTCACTGTTGATGGGTTATTATTGTACAGTTACTTCCTGTCCTTAAGATAACACAGTTGCTGGTTGGTCGGATGCCTGAAGGAGTGATGCTGCTATAATGTCATGTGGGTGGTCGCTTAGGAGAGTTAGCATTCTTATAGCTTATGAAAGATTTATTGACAGCCACATGGATCAGACTGCCTTCGGTTTGGTGTTCCTCATGTATCCCAGAATCCCTCCTCAGGCCTGAATACTAGCCATATGTCTGGCCATTGGTTTGCAGAGCACCACTGTAATGGCTGCCCACTATAGGGAGCTTGCAAAAAGAAAATAGTAAAGGCCTTTTATTGGAAAATACTTCAAAATTTGACTCAAGATATTTTCAGCCTCTTATTGGTAGAAGAGAAGCTGCCACTGCTGATCTGGGTAGATTGGTCAACCTATATACAGCTGATTTGATGAGCATCTGCTATAATGCTGAAGATTTGTAAATGCTAAAAATGTTTTTACCTCCTTACAAATTTTGAGAACTTGCCAGCATTGGCAAGAAGCAGAGACCCTGAAGTGTGCTTCCTGATCCATGCCAAAACCATTGTGGCCTTTGCACCTGTACTGCATTCTCCTCCCCCACATTTCTTTGAAAATGTACTTTTTTTTTCCTTCCAGAATGCCTCTTCTCCTCTACATAACCACCAAAGTAAGATTCCCCACCCCCTTTTAAAACACGTGCTTTGATTATTACTTCATGTACTGGCTGTTTTTTGGCAAAACATTAAAATGTGAACACTGGAAGCAAATGCGTCATCAAATATTTGTTAAAAGCAGAGGTGATTTTTTTCCCCCTAAGGCTTAGAGATGATAGAAGCCAGTGCTTTGACTTAGTTCAGCGGGGTATTAGAACTGAGTGACTTTTGTGTCAAGTAAACAGAGAGAAGTATAGTACAGTCATGTGAGTCCATAAACCTGAAACTTCCATCCTATTTGGTTTATAAAACAACGAAGCCACTTTATGTCTTCAATTTGGTCTCTATTTGCATTGTCTTTCCCATGTATCATATGGCGACTTATTGGTACTATGGTATCATGGCAAATGGTTTTCTTTGTGGACATGTAACAGTAAAGCTAATTTATGACCGGCCTTTACCAGATGATCTGTATCAGAATCTACAATATACCCGGCACGTGGCAAGGTCACAATTTAAGTTGTTAAGGTCATAACCTTAGCCACCAGGCATTTGACCTTTTAGATAAAGTTAACCTTTGTTCATTAGTAGGCACTCAACCGAGAACTTTCTGGAGAGTTTTTTTTCTTTCTTTCTTTCTTTTTTTTTTCTTTTGACTTTTTTTTTTTTTTTTTTGAAACTGCTTCTGTATAACTTCTGGAAATGTAATCAATTCTAAGGATTCTGTTAAGTGAGTTAAATTTTGTTAAGAGGTTGGACTTTTAAAAGGACTTCTTGCTCGGACAGAGGTACATTGCTTTCGTTACGCCATAAAATGATGCTCACTGTTTAATGTTTAGTATTACCTGATGTGGAATACAGCAACAGCTCTGAGGTAGTCTTTACATGTGGTGGCACTTAAAATCTAAAATTAAATAAATGGCATCATGTCTAATTCAACAGAGGCCCTTGCTAATTTGCAGGTGGCAATGGGCCCAAAGCTGAAGAACCCTCAGCCATTGTCACTTCTTAAAGGTGAGGAGCTTTCTAAGATTGCAAGTATTTTTAGCTGTCTTAAAAATCTACTTGGAAAGATTAAGTGACCAAAATTGTCAGCAAATTGCTGCAACTGCTAATTAGCCGACGACAAAGGAACCGATGCCATCCTAATGGCAGTGTGAGTGCGTCTGAGTTTTAAGATGGGAAGTGAACACTTCTGTGGAGTTACAGGAGCTGATGGTCGGTCTGTCTGTGTCCTTGCAGGAAGAGCTGTTTCAATATGCCAGCATCTTGGTACCCATCCTGTAACCTGCAGGGCAGGATTACTCATCACCATGTGGACTGTACCGAAGCGTTCCTTTGGTGATGCTTTCAGGAATACTCATTTTAAGTCGGAACTCTGCTAGTTTGGCAATGATGAGCCACGTGGTTCCATCTCAGCCAAAAGAAGAGCTATTCCCATTCAGGTGCACGTTAGTTTTATTTTGGCCTCATGACTGCCATTCCTTCATATAGTACTAGAGAAAGCCATGATATGCAGATATACCAGATGGTCATGTTGACAGATTGAGAATTCACTTCCTACTGCTTCAGAGCAGGTGTAAGATGGGGAGTGCCTGTGAGTGTGTGCTTTGTGTGTGTGTATGCACACCCAGGCTGCACCCAGAGTGCTGCTTAAGCAGTGGCAGGCAATGATCTCAACAATATTCAAAAGGTACTTTTTAAAATGTGGAATAAATTACACATAAGCTTACAGTACATATAAAACAATTTTAAACATTAAAATGAGTCATATTATTTTGTTATATTTTATAAGTCTGTGTCTAATTAATGTTTACAATGTACTGATTCTTAGGTGACTTAGCACATTTGTTAGAGGGAGTGTTGCATTTCTAACATATACTCAGCATGTTCTACTGGCAAGTTTATGTGTATATGTGTTTATTTTCAAGAATACGGCTGTACATATATAATTAAACTTCTTGAGAAGCTTAACACATTCCCTAGCAGAAACTTGTGCACATAGTTACCATGATTTGTGGTGATAAAGTGTGTTTGGAAAAAGGGATAAGGCTAATATATGGTGAGACTTAAAATTAAGAGAGACCTAGTCTGTATCCTATATTCCAATCCTGAGCTGAAGCCAAATTCATGGTAGAATTTTTGGCTCATTGATATATTGTGAATTATTGATACATATATACAGTTTTGTCTCTTAATTCCAAACAGATAGTTCTAACAACCAACAAATTTGAGATTAAATGTGACTTTTAGAGCCTTAAGTGTGTTCTGCAGTAACCTGAGGATAGTAACAATATCCATTCCCTTGAATGTAGTAACAAAACCCTGTGCTTAGAGCATAGTGAAAAAGCTGAGAGGTCAAAGGCAGACGGCTCACAGAAACGGGGCAAACGCTGGTCGAGAGGAAGCCTTTGAATGGAAGTCAGTTTGTTTATGGCTAAGAGGTTTGACTGTGTTGGTTAGAAAATTTCCCAATGCTATTGGCATGGTTTGCCTGTCTTCCTTCCCACCCTGTGATGAATAGCATTAATTTAAACCTATTTAAGGCTAGTGTGGGAGAAACCACAGCTTTTGTTGTGGTCAGTGCTGTACACAGTAGGACTGGGTTAGGGCCTGGAGCTCCTTCCAGAGGATGCAGAACATCCCGTCAGCTCTTTAAATCTCCCACAGAAGCAATTGCTCCTGAATGTCGATATAGATTATTGAAAAAAATACTGAGGATTAGAAGAGAAGGAAAAAAAAAAAAAAATACAGATTGA